TCTGTCTGTGTGGGTCTCTCTCTCTCTCTGTGTCTGTCTGTGCGTCTCTCTCTCTCTCTCTCTCTGTGTCTGTCTGTCTGTGTGTGTGTGTGTGTCTCTCTCTCTCTGTCTGTGCGTATCTCTCTCTCTCTCTGTGTCTGTCTGTGCGTCTCTCTCTCTCTCTGTCTCTGTCTCTGTGTGTGTCTGTATCCCTCCCTCCCTCCGTGTCTCTATTTCTCTGTATCTCCGCGTTGCTCTTTCTGCGTCCTGGCCATGCGTATGAACATTGATGGAAAGCCCCTGGAGACAGTTTACATTCCTTGGGCAGCTTGTTAATGCAAGACTTTTCAGTGGTGAGTGCAAGTGGACATGGGGTGTCTCTGTCCGAGACAGTGGGGTGGGGGTGGGAGGGGGGAGACAGCGCGTGTGTGAAAGGGAGACAGGGAGAGGGGGGCGAGAGAGAGAGGGCATTCCAGTGTGCCAGTGTCCCCCCCAGGGGAGGGTTCTAGTGATAGATTCTAGCCTGCACTGCACAGCGGGACTACACCCGCCCTCTCTAGTGCCCGCTGCCAGTGATGGCACCCAGTAGCACTTCCACCAGTGCCAGTGTAAGAGTTTTGAGCACCATGAGGGGGCTGGAAGGGGGCGAGTGGGTGAGCGCACTGGTGCCAGGTTTCCCCTGGAAGCCGCGTGCCAGTGCAGCGGTCAGTGAGGGAAGCCCAGAGGGTGACAGAACATAGCTGATCGATCGTGAATGACTGTCACAAACACACCAACACTTTCTTCACTTTGTTCAAGCGTTTTGGCAATTATTACATTCAAACCTTCTACATCAGGAAATTGCCCCAGTCATCACCTTCAGCGACCCCTACAGCACACTCAGCGCCGAGGGCGCGGGGCGCCGTCGGAGGGTCGGCGCCGAGGGAGCGGGGCGCCGGAGGGTCGGTGCCGAGGGAGTGCCGCACTGTCGGAGGGTCAGCGCCGAGGGAGTGCCGCACTGTCGGAGGGTCAGCGCTGAGGGAGTGCCGCACTTTCGGAGGGTCAGCGCCGAGGGAGTGGGCGCTGTCGGAGGGTCAGCGCCGAGGGAGCGCCGGTGTGTGATGGGAGCTTTATGTGTCTGAATTAACCGTTGCATCTTCAACCTGTCAATAAATGCTTGGCTTGCAGCAGGGAAAAGTTTAAGACAAGTTTAAATAACACAGAATAATGTCCATTTCTCACTGAAGTCTCCACCTCTCCATCCCTCCGTTGGTTACAACACGCCCGCTTCTCGAAGCTTCTGGAAGTGCTGAGGACGAAATTTCTGCAGATAGACGTGCAATTTTCCTAACTGGTTGTCCGTCTCTTCAATACCTGGGAGACCGAGCAAGGGTGTGGGGATGCGAAAAATAAATTAGTGAAGGATCAAAATAACCGACAGCAGATCTGAGCTCAGACGCTCAGTCTGGGGGGTGTCTCTGTACCCGGGGAGGGGAGGGTTCCGGTTGCAGAGGGAGGGCAGCGAGGGACGGCAGGACTGATGGAGGGAGGGAGGGACCAGATCGTGTTGGGACGGCATTCACTGGGAGGTTAGAAGGATTGAGGGGGAGGAGCGAGGGCGAAGGGAACGAGAGATGGTCCCTCAGGCCCTGAAACTGTTGGTACAGAGTCCGGAGGGCTGTAGGGTCCCCGAGCGGAAAATGAGGGGTTGTTCCTCCCAGCTTGCGTTGGGCTTCACTGGAACACTACAGCAAGCCTGAGACAGAGATGTTGGTCAGGGAACAGGGTGGTCTGGTGCCTTTACTGGGTCAGTGCGTTGAGTATAGGAGTTGGGAGGGTCACGTTGCGGCTGTACAGGACATTGGTTAGGGCCGCTTTGGGAATACTGCGTTCAATCCCGGTCTCCCTGCTACAGGAAGGACGTTGTGAAACTTGAAAGGGGTCGGAAAAGGATGTTGGAGGGTTTGAGTTACAGGGAGAGGCTGGGGCTGTTTTCCCCGGA